TGAACTTGCAACAATTGACACTGGAACAGTGATGTTAACAACGACGCGCACGCGCGTCGCGCTGCGTCAACTGGAGCGGCTGATAGGGGACACCATTCTACCCAGCGACGATCACGAGGTGTGTCCCGTGTGCGATGTTGTCCGGCCTGGGCCTCGCCATATGGGCACGCATCGCTCAAAGAGTTTGTATGTAATATGTGCGGGGCCCTGTTTGCCCGCACAGAGAACAGGGACGCACACGAACCATATTGTACGAACTGATTCGTTTCTACATCCAACACACGTGCCCAAACCCTCATTTAAATTAACTTCTTTTCTTTGCGACACCACAATTTGCTACGTGCTCTTGCATAACACGCCACATAACCACACAACTCTCAACAAACATTGCCACGTGACCACTTTGCGTTGTCGACAATTCTTGTCTCCTGCTCTGTTTCTTTTTGTTAGAGTGTTCATTCATCCTACATCCTTGTTTGCCTCACAACTCAAGTACATATGGCAATCTTTCGCGCGGTTTTGTGCCGGGTCTGTTGTGAAGTAGCCACACGCTTCGCATTGATTGCCATCAACTACGTGTCCCTCTGTACGTCCCATCATGCCGAGACTAGTCTGGTTTTGCAACATCAAGTGTGAATGCAGCCAGTCGGACCGGGTCTTGTGCGGGTAGTAGTCAACGAGACGTTTGCCGTCTGCTGAGGTATATAAATGACCTTTTTGCTTAAAAAATGCCATTAGCCTTTTTGTAGCTCAATACAAGAGCAGCAAGTCATCACACAAGCAAGTTCTCGTGTCCCCTTCTGTTGATTGGATGCAACTCTGCCACGACTGCATTGCATTAGAGACGTTGTGGAACAATGCAATCAGCACAAAACTGCCACAAACGCGGTGGAAAGTGGAGTTTGCGACACGACAAATAGTATCTGGAACGTTCCAGTTTTGTTCCGATCACGCTTTCGAGATCCGCTTTTGTGACCGCCACAAACGCACTGGAACAAACCTTTTTGCGTATGTCATCGCAAAATTTCCACATCACAGAGACAGAGAGAATGGATGGTCACACACAGGAACAGCTGCAGCAGATGCAGCAGCAGCAGCCGCATCGTCCGGTTCCTGGCTTCTCCAACGTGCTTGATCATGGCGAGGACGAGTCACAACAATCGCAGCAGACACAAGAACCGCAGCAGGCACAGCAACAAGACACAGGGTCGATCCACAAGCATCGTCGGCTGACCACAGCTGAGCTTCAGGCTCTCATGGCGCTGGCCCTGCAACATGATCTGCCCAGGAAGAAAGGTCACCATGGGGTTCGTCGGGAGTGGACCAAGGTCGCCAATGAGTTCCAGCAGAAGCATCCAAGTCAGCCCCCACTATCAGGGAAGGCCGTTCAGGTGAGAGATGCATGCGTTTTCATCCGTCTGAAGTATGTACATGTTGGCGTGTCTCTGTGTAAGCTTCCTTTGTAGTCATCTTAGACGTTCTCTTTGCTGGTTGCTCAGGCTCGTGTCTCGAGAGTTGTCGAGGATGTCAAGGCGGCAGATTCGATGGAGTCTCACTCTGGCTCAAGTCTGGCTCCGTATCCGGAGGTAATCATGGAGGCGGCGCGAACGTTTTCCGAGCGCGTTGATGAGGCCACCGATGCTAAGGATGAGCAGCGCAGAAAGAAGTCGAAGGAAGATGCGGCCTTGGTGTACTCGTCCATGCTCCCATCCACGGGAGAGACGAGTGGTGATGAAGACGACGACGTTCTTCAGGCTATCTCGTCAAGGTGTGTCTGTGTATGTGTGTGTGTGTGTGTGTGCGTGTGCTTCTGGTGTGTGAATTCCCATTGAGCCCGAACAACCAATAGCACTTGTCTCACACTCCCATGTACACCCCGCTCAACACCAGGGATCACGATCTGCGCCAGCAGCAGATAGAATTGGAACGCAAACGGCTTGAGCTTGAGGAGCGCCGGTCTGTCAGGGACGACGAACGCCACACACAGATGATGGCTTTCATGCAGACAACCATGGCCACGCTCGTAAGAACCTCTATTGTTGTCACATTCTAATGAACTGTTGGGCATGTACCTTTTTTTTCTTCGATCGTGGCGTGCATGTGTGCATATGCGTGGATGTTTGACCTAGATGTGTGGGCAAGTATGCAAAATACATGTTTCATACACCTCACATGGTGCAACTGCCACTCCCACATACAGGGTGAGCTGACAAAGTCGCTCCGTGGGCGTGACAATGGACGTGCCAATGATGACACTGATGATGGTCGTGGTGTGGCTGGTGCTCTGTGACTGTTACTCCATTGCGGCATGCAGTCCGACTACCTTGCTCGTGTTACGTTATGGTGGGTCGTGTATTGTGAACGGGTGTGCTTTGTTCAAACATAGTTACGTATCTCATGCGCGTGTGTTTGCGTATGGTGTGTGTATGGGTGTGGATGTGCACATGCGTGTGTGCATGTATGCCTGTATGCTTGTGTGTTGTAATGTCTGTGCTTGCGTGTGAATGCAAGTGTTCCGTTTGCACTGCTTGTGTTTATGTGCAACAACTTGAATACACAAGTCTATGGTGAGAACAAGTATGACTCAAGTCGCGGTGGAGACACGTGAAAATATGTGCTCGCTTCGCATCCATACAAGCACACGTGGCAGTTTGTCAAGAGAAACCCCAAAGCAATATACTTCCCGACGGGGCTCAGCCCAACCCTCAGGTTTGAGCTGAATCGCAGGAATCGCCAGTGATTGGCGACGTTTCCAAAACCCCACTCCACCGCAACACGAACTCGCTTGAGCTCTGGGTGATTGTTGACTACAATTACGCGATGACTCGTTGCATATGCGTTGTCCCCGCCGAGACGCATTCCTGGAACAATGCCATCGATCCAGTTGGCGACACCAGAAGAGTAAAAGCACCTGGAGTCATGCCAGCGACCTGTGGTAAAGCGTGGTGATTCAGATACAGTCATTGATGAGCACGATGTTCACAGATCTCACACATTGTTGTACTCACACAATCGTTGATGGGTGGCCCAAGCAACGCACACGCGCACGTACAC